GTCTCTGATTTGAAAGGGAATGTTTATTATCTAGGTCTCTGGGGAATAATAGAGGCAATGTACAGAAGGTAGGAAAGGGAAGTGATAAAGGCGTAGTGGAAAGTCCTGAGAGTGAGCCGTGGTCCATGGCTGGGTCCTTAACTGCAGTCCAAGGAGATCCACGGGACAAGGCAGATACTTGTGGGGAAAACCATGCAAAAGCAGTAAGAAGCTAACTGGACCTGCTCTACTGGGGCAATTCCACATTTAGGTAGGAGGATATTATGTAAATGTCTCTCTCTAGTGACTGAGTGGCTCACATGGCCCTCCTGGGAGGGATACATAGGAGTAGCGGGGAACTACTGAAGAGGTTGGAAGGCAAATATCACTATAAAAGCAAGAGAAAGTGGGACTTGCTTATTAGGGAACAGACTAAGCTGCCCCCCACCAAAAACACCAAAAAGTGTATACATCTATAAGCAGAGACTTAAATGACATGGAAGTTCATTTCTTTCTTACATTACATGAGGTGAATGTCCAACTAGACAGGGAGTCTCTACTCCACAAAGTCAATTCAGGACCCAGATTCCTTCCATTTATTGCTTCACTATTTCCTAAGCTGGTATCTTCATCCTCATAGTCACAGTTAGGTTGTGGGTGCATTTAGTGTTCCAACCTATAAAGGAAAAAGAAAGAAACTCCAAGGCTAATGGCTTATCTTTTCAGGTAGAAATGACCCAAAAATTACATACACTGTAGTTGCTATTTTAAGCCACTAACTTTCCATAAGGCTTGTTACACAGCAATAGATACCTGAGATTAATCTGTGCAAATATCTGTTTCTTGCTCCAGAAAGATCCTAAAACAAGGGCAAACATAAGTGAAAAGCACTCAAATTAATTACATTTGGGAACAAGCAAATGCTTCCCTTAGGAGACTGAGAATCCAGATAATTAATTTCATAAATACTTATTTCATAAACAACTTAAGTATTTATTTGAAAATATTATTACTTTACAGATGTTAAATAGCCACTTTAGCTTTGATTCTAATAATTTCCTTAGGGAGGAAGCAAATTCTTTTTTGTTTTTTAATTATGGGGGGACTTAAATATTTCCCAACCAAAAAGTTTGTGCTAAATATATTCAATTTTGTAGTATCCACCTATGCTTATTTAAGTAAACACACCATAATTGCTCTGCTATGAAAATACTTCCTATCACTAGTGCCTCGTGTATGTATGCATATTTTTTAAAGTTTAAATGAAACTTTTCAAAGGGGAATCATTTCAAATAGTGTTGTGAAACCAATACTCTACATACAGCACTGAAAGTGAATTCCCTAAGAAATTTTACAATAAACCTATTCTAAAAAGCCTAGTCATGGTCATAGCAAACATCAAATAGAATCTAAATTTGTTACTCTTTCCATAAAATTTCTTTTTCTCAGTGGCCTTTAAAATCTGATCGTATATTTTATAGCTCTCCTTTACTTCCTTGAGTGTTAAAAGAACAATTGAGTTAAATACTTTGATGACATGCTGTGTTTGGCTGGCTGTTGTTAACATGCAAGAGGTTGCAAGAACTAAATAAAACTGATTCCCAGAAAGTGAGGACAGACTTTTAAAAATAGCATCCCCTGAAATTGAAGCTAACTAGAAATAATTTTTAATTTCCAAGATTAGCTATTGCAGAAGGGGTTTGCAAATGTGTGTGGATGAGATTGTGGTGTTGTCCAATTCTCATATGTATGGAGAGGGGAGGATATTGTGAGGTTAGAGAAGGAAACTAATATCTTTTAAGCATCTTCTCTGTGTCAGTCACTTAACATACTCTTTCATTTAATCATTGCAACAGTCCTCTAGAGTGACTTTATCCACATTCCACAAATAGGGAAATGTAGGTAAGAAGGGAGGTTCCAGGCTGTACAACTACTGCAGTGTAGAACTGAAATTCCAACCAAGTTCCTCTGACTCCAAAGTTTGTGTCTCTGCCACCGAATACAGGAGGCCAGGTTATCATGTACAAGATATAAAGAGCTCTAAAATGTAACCTCTTCTGTATATCATCCCCAAAATGGAGTGATTTGCTTGGAAATTGAATTGAAAAATAATAATAATTGAACAGGGATCAGTAAATTATGGTCTCAAACCTGTTTGTAAATAAAAATTTATTGGCACAGTGCCACACCAGTGTGTTTGGCATGTTGCAAGGACAGAGTAGAGTAGTTGTGACAGAGACCACATGGTCTACAGAGCCCAAAATATTTACTATCTGACTCTATATAGAAGAACTGTGCCAACCTCTGGAATAGAACCCATGTCATCAATATCCTGTACCAGGGAAAGGGGTTCAGTGACAGGGAGACATTGGAGAGCTGTACTAGAATGACATGCTGGGGGAATCTGCCAGCTCTGCTGCTGCTCAGAGGAGCTATTTTATAAAATGCATCAATTCCTCTTGTCCTGACCTACACAGTCCATTGGGAAATGTCATTAAAAATACCATTCTGTAAGTACCACGGTAACTGAAAACATGTATGAAGGAAATCATTGATAATATAGCTACTATGAAATCATAACCTAACTATAATTAGTAGAATATAAATAGAAAACCAATACAGCAAAACTTCTCTAGACCAGTTTAGGCTGCCCATCCCTGAACCAGTTAAACATGGGTAAAGGAAATGGGGTTATAGTAATTGGGTTAAACTGATCTATGCCAGCTACTGACAACTCAACAATATAGCTAATGTCAAAGGTGGAATTGAAAGGATGTTGACAGGTCAGTTGCCATATTCACTATGATTTTCTGATGAAAACATATTAAAACATTGTCTGAAAAAATCTGAAACTAATTAAACAGTACAGCTTTCCTTGTTATTTTCCCAGTTGCCACCCACAGATTCAACTGATCATAAATGGCCAAAGTGTTCATCACACAGTAATTTATATGGCATTTCTAAAGGATAGTTCTAGAAACTTTTGAAATTTCCATAAGTGAGAAAAACAGAAAAATTTTATATAGTTTCTTGGTTTCTCATTTCATTGTCATTTCCTATGCATAAACCCACACCCTACAAATTACTGCCTTTTTTATTTCCCTCTTTTAAATAAAGATGTAACTTCATTTATTTTTGAGAAGATAACACAGTCACATGATTAATACTGAAGAGGAACAAACATATTTCTAGTGAAATGTCTCTTTCTTCTTTTTCCCAGTCACCTAGTTTCTCACTCCCCTCTACTGCCAGTTACCATTTTCTTGTATATCATTTCGAAGATAGTCTGTGACCTTCTAAGCAAATACGTATGTATATTCTTTCCCTGCACCTCTTTTTACAGTATTCTGAACCTTGCTTTTTTTTCTTTCAAATACGTCTTAGTGATCTTTCCATAGTGATACATAGCTTGTTCACTTTTTATAAGTCTTCATAATATTCCATTGATGGACATCCTGTAGTTATTTGATTAATTCCCTGCTGATGCACACTTGAGTCATTTCCAGCCTTTTGATACTACAAACAATGCTGCAATATATAAACAGATGTATGTCATTTCACACATGTGGGAGGCTATCTTTAGAATAAATTACTGCCTTTTCATCTTTCACCAAAATTTCATTTTCACTTGATGAACAATTTTTGCACAAGGTGGGAATACTCACTAAAACACTTTAATAAACTTTTGTTTAATATAAAAGACTCATTCATGTCATAGACTGAAACCACCTCCAAATTCCATATTCCACACACTAATTTAAGCCAGGACTCTAGTGTCTCACTAAGAAAAATCACTTTCTTAGAGTTTCACTTGTATTGCCAGAACTAGCAATTGGGAGACACACAAAAAATAATACCATCAAATGCCTACAAAACAAGTGGAGTACAATACCAGGAAGATGAGACACACAGGCCACACCATTTTCTGGCTTTCGTCATTGGCACTGCAACTTACTGGCCTAGGAAGCCTTTCAATTCAAGTGACATCTCAGCCAAGTCTCCTCTAGGTTTGTGGTCCTTCTGGGAAAGCTTGTATATGTCTAAACTTTGTAAACATTTCCTGTCAGAGTTCTTAAGACTGTAATCCCCAGGATATTTCACAGGCTCCCATTTGCAAGGGTCAGGAAAGCTAAATGCATTATTTTCCAGTTACCAGTCCAGAACAGAAGCCAATATACTCTGAGCAGTTCCAAACAGTTAATTTCATGTAGATTATACCACTCCCCGGACCTTATCAATGAATGTGCAGTCAAGTCCTCAGGAGCTGAGTGATGGGGTCCCTACCACTTAATTTCCATTATATTGCCTTCTCCAATGAAAACCCTGATCCCAGACTCTCTCTTTTGTCCTAAGAGCTACTAAAATGCAAATGTCTCTACAAGAGGGAACACTGTAAACTGAACCGGTCTTACACACCATTTTGACTGATTCTGTCATATTCTCTAAGGATACCATTTTAATAGGGAGGGAGAGAGAGCTGTGTAGATATTGTAGGGCCAGGACAGTGCTGCTGAGAAGGAAGGACACTAGAAGGTGAGACTGATAACCAGTAAAAGCCTAGTTTGCCTCAGAGTAGTCCCTGGAGTGTAATCACCACCATCACCCCTCCCGATTTTAAATCCCCTTTAAGAATGTGTGGGAAAACAAAGGGGAGGCTGGTTTTGTTTAGACAGTCTTCAGAAGTTGCTTATGGATACTTACGAAGGGTATTTGGAATTATGTCTTATTTTTAATACAGTCACCTCTAGGGACAGTTTCATAGCAATTTGTTTTTCCAAAGAATTTTCTCAGGAGTTGATCCTGGGTCTTTAAGCATAGACTAAAGGCCATCCCTCACAGAGGCATAATTTATGAAGGCCTCAAATAACTCAGACTGAAGAAGACATCTGACTAATTGCAGTGAGGGGTCAGCAAGTGGAGAAGAATGCCTGAAAAAGTGGATCACACAGTTAATTACCCACGGTTTAGCCAAGAGCTAAGCAAAAGGCAATCTCACTCTATCTCTTTGATCTGTCTCCAGTTTGAAACTCTGCAACTGGCAGCAACTTGGTTTTTATATCTTCTGATCTCCTTAAGGGTACTGGGCCAGGCTATATCATCCATAGCTTCTCATGGCTGGCTCAGTGCAGCTTGCTGAATGACTGTGTGGGACAGAAGGAGAAGAAAATCTTGTGGGTGTCCACTGGATACAAGCCCTAACTGGGAACATATAACTGGGTTGTAATTACCCTCTCCATTATTTCCAGAGAATTACCTGGGAACATTACTGGAAATGATCTGTCTTGTCCAGTCAGCTCCCATTCTCAGAAAGGTTGAGCCCTGTGAATTTCACAACCTTTGCAACTTCTTGGGAAATGCATTATGAGTTTCCAAATCTTCTGCTCAGCCTTGATAAGATTCCTAAGTGATTGCAAAAGTGAAAATAAAACCCAAAGCTATTTTGTGCCATGGTATTTATGAATAAAACAAGGAGAGAAAATTGCATGCAGTAGCCTAGACTTATAATCATATGGATTTGGGGGAACTTTCTGCAATCCACAATCCTTATATGGAAGAAATAAATATTGTTAATAACACAGGCTTACTCTGGTCGTATACCTCAGTAATTAATGCAGTGTTAGGGCTGGTAGGAATTCAGAGTTCACCTATTCCACACCTTCATATCCTGAATTTGAGACCAGAAGATCAAGTCACTTAGTAACAGGCACTCAGTTCATATGGTAGAAAGAACACTGAGCTTAGAAGGAATAATCTTGAACTTGAGTCTTAACCTTGCCCCTTTCTGGGGTGGCTTTCAAACAAGCCAGTGAGCCTCAATTTCTGTACTGGCACAGACCCAAGCAGACTGAAAACGTTGCTTAGGAACAGTGACGTGCCACCAGGAACTTGGAAATACCTTGGTTCTTAAAGACAAATTAATAAAATTCACACATAACAGATGAGAAAGTTACCTTTAGAAATAAATCATGAAATTGTAAGTTTATTACAGAAGAGTTATTTTTAAAACATCTATTTTTCTGAGTTTTAGAGTACTACATGTCCATTGTACTAAAAAAGAATCCAGGCAATAAACAAGAAAGTGAGGATTACTCATAATTCCTGGTGAATATATTTCCAAACACGTTCAGGAAGAATTCCTCATATCCTTGCAGATGAGATCATGCTATTCCTACTTCTGACACTTAACAAAATATTATTGGTGTATCCTTTCAATGTACAGTAGTCACCCCCTTATCTGATATTTTGCTTTCCAGTTTCAGTTACCTGCTCACAGTCAACTATGGTCTGAAAGCAGAGAACCCTCCTCTGACACAGTCAGAAGGTCCATAATAGGCTACATCATGCCTACGCATCATTCACCTCACTTCATCGAATCAGGTAGGCAGTTTATCATCTCACATCATCACAAGAATAGTGAGTACAGTACAATAAGATTTTACAGAACGAGAAACTACATTCACATTACTTTTTTTACTGTATTGTTGTAATTGTGCTATTTTATTATTATTGTTCTTAATCTCTTCCTGTCCCTAATTTGTAAATTAAACTTTATCATAGGTATGTATTTATAGGAAAAAACATAGTATATATAAGGTTTGGTACTATCTGTGGTTTCAGCCATTCACTGCGGGTCTTGGATTGTGTCCCCCATAGATAAGGAGGAACTACTTTATTTGAGAACACTCAGAATTCCAATAAAAATGAATTGGACATAATATCTGAGGAGCTGATCTGATCTGAAATGCAATTGTCATTTGATAATCCTGGGGAAAAACTGAGAGAATAAAATAGGGATGGCAAGAAGCAAAGCAAATGGAAGCCCCAAAATGCCAGAATGTAGGCCAGCCATGGTGCTGAGGCTTTACATGCTTTGTTTGCTTAATTTACTCTTCTTAACTACCCTACAAATAGGCACCATTACTGTTTGCATTTTTCAGATGAAGATAACTGATGCTCAAAGAAATTAACATGGTGCAATTAGTAAATATTAGGAATTAGGTCTGTACCAAGTGATACATTCCCAGAGCATGTTTTTTTAATCTATATTTTATTTTTACTGACGTATACATACACATATTAAAGAATCAAATAATTCAAGGTTTATTTTGAAAACAACAGTCCATAGCCCCTACATCCCTACCCTATTTCTTAGAACCTAGAGGCAACTACTTTTTTTCTCACCTTCCCCTCCAACAGCTCATTCTTAAAGTATCTACCTCCCCTATTGCTAAATAATGTGCTAGAACTGTTCTCCTGCGGGTTTTCCATTTTAGGCATTCTCTATTGTCACCTCACCCTAGAAAGTGAGGATTTAGCCCTCTCTCTCTCCCTCATTCCCCACTCCCACCATGAGCTCTTGTCCCCTCTGCCCATTCTCTCAATGTAGTCTGCTGTAGTCTGAATGATTATACCTCTCAAAATTCAAATGCTGAAACCTAATCCCCATTGTGATGATATTTGAAGGTGGGGCCTTTAAGAGATAGGTCATGTGGGTGGAGCCCTCATTAGTGGGATCAATGCCCTTATAAGGAGACCCCCAGAGAGCTCCCTCCCCCTGCTGCCAAATGAGGTTACAAGGAGAAGGCAGCGGCTGTGAACCCCGAGGTGGGCTCTCACTGGGCATCAAATCCTCCAGTGCTTTGATGTCACTCTTCACAACCTCCAGAACTGTGATGAATGCACTTCTGTTTATAAGCCACCCAGTCTGTGGTGGCTTGTTAGAGCAGCCCAAACAGACTAAGACAGTTATACTGTGATTTCCATTATACCTACTCTCAGTATTCACATTATTATGAACAAGCAAATGCTACTCACAGCTAATACTTGTAGACCACCGTGTTAACTTTTCCTTTACATACAACCTCCCTTTTTCCCTGGAATTATTATCATGACTATTTTATTGTTGTTCACTTAGTTTTCTTTGTTCTTAATACAAATTCAAACTCCCCTTCAATTGTGTAAATCTCCTTTCAATATATTCACCTGCATTGGGAGCTCTAACCATTTCATCTTCTGGAGGAAATCTAACATGTTCCAATTTAGGTCAGATGCTCTCCCTAGCATTAGCTCCCCTTAGGAGACTGAGACCCCTTCATCCTTACTTGGAGATTTTCTTCACCTCTCTCTAGTCTTGGATCCTATTTCCTGATTCTGATGTCTTCCTCTTTTGGTTTGCTCCCTTGTTTTAGTGAAGGATGCAACCCAGAAGCTTCCTAAGAGAGTACAAAGGAAGTAAGATTTTTGAGATCTTACAAATCTGAAAATAACTTCATTCTACACTTAATACTTTTTCACATCATAGACATCTATTTTTCCTGTATTTTTGAAAGCATTTCTCCATTGCCTTATAGATTCAGTTGTTGCTATTAAGAAAACGGGTAACATTCTCAATCTTGTTTTGTTATATTAAACAAATTTGTTTTTCTGGAAGTTTATTGTCTTATCTCTTTGTTCCTCTTGTTTTAGGTTTTTTATTTTTTAACACAAATTTTTTGAGTGTCTACTATATGCCAGGATATGTCAATGAATGTTTTATTATGACATTCTCAGGTGGGCTGCTATTTTTACAGAGCAGTTGATTGGCCCTTCAGTCTGGAAACTAAGATTGTAGGGTATTTTCATTAACTTTTTTCTTTGCTGATTTCCTGTGCTCCGTTCTCTGTTTTTCAGTCACCCTATTATTGGATGTTGGGCCTCCTGGACTGGTCCTCTAATTTTCATATCTTTTCTGTCCTGTATCCAAATGTTAGTCTTTTTACTCTGCTTCCTGGGAGATTGCCTTAACTTTTTCTTTTAGTCCCTATATTGAATTTCTCATTTCTAATGTCATATTTGTAATATCTAAGTTTCTTTTGAACATGCTGAATATTCCTTGTATAGGTAACCCTGTTATTGTTTCATATCTTCACTTCTCTCTCTGAGGACAAGAAAGTTTGTTTTCTAAGTTTTCAGTTGGCAAAGTTCGTTTCCTTCAAGTTGCTTTCTCTGTTTGCTTTGTTCTCTTTCACTGATGAGTGTTCTTCAGATATCTGGTGATCAGTGGCTGTGTCTTTTTTATTTTTAAGAATGAGACATTGAAGAGAGGATGTTCTGTGTGCATAAGGAGACTCTCCATTGGGTTTGCTACTGAGTGTTGTGATATAGGCCCACATATGGGGCACATGTCAGAATATTTTCTCTTAGGCTGATTAGTTTACCCAGAGAATTCTTCCAGCCTGGCTAACAGTATTCTGGAAGCCAAGTGGAGGAAGACGATGAAGGAGGTTTCAACACACATTTTTTTTTATTAGGGTATCATTGATATATACTCTTAAGAATATTTCACATGAAAAACAATGTGCTCACTACATTCACCCATATTATCGAGTCCCCCTCCCATACCCCATTGCAGTCCCTGTCCATCAGTGTAGTAAGATGCCACAGAGTCACTCCTTGTCCTCTCTGTGCTACACTGTCTTGCCCATGATCACCCCACACCATGTCAACATACAATTTATAAACATAAATTTAATCCTTAGTCTTCAGTATTGTGGCCTGCATTCCTTCTCCATTACCCCAATCCAGAGTCCCTCTGTCTGCTCGTCACCTCAGTAAGCCTCCAGATCGCTACTGAATGAGGGAGAGACCATCCTCTACCTGTGAGGAACTGGGTGAGGAGTTAGGGAACTACCAGTTTCTCACAAAAACTTTCCACCAAATCCCCTATGTAATCCCCCATCCTCATTCCCACTTCCTAACGTAACTGTTGCTCCAGTTTTGGGGGTTCTATATTGTAAATTGGGTTGGTTATCATCGAGTTTAAGATTCAGGCTTCTTGAGTATCCTAGTTCAGTTCTTACTTGTCTGTTTCCTAGTTTCTAAAACTGTATTGCTATTATCTCCTATCCCATTCCCTTTGTCCTTGTGCATTTAGATTTTCTTAAAATCATTTTATTTTCCTTTGGGTAAAGAGGGAAGGGAATTGAATGCTTATTGTGTTCAATCTGACATCTTTAACTGGACTGCCCCACACCCTAAGCTATTCTCAGCATGTTATAGAGAAGTTTGCAGTTTACTGTAACTGTTCTAGAAAGACAGACACAAAGCCTAGCAAATACAAATGAAATCACTAAAGATACATGATCACCATAGATAGATGAAATATCCATCAGGACTCTCCATCTTTTTTTGTTTTGATTCCCTCCTGACCAGAAATCTTCTAATTATATGGCCTAACATATCCAAGGTAAAATTCATATTCTAACACCCAAACTAGGTTCTTTTACAGTGTTCACCATCTTAGTGAGTGGTACCTCATCCTTTAATTTACTCATATCAGAAATTTAGGAGTCATTCTAAAGCTTTTCTTTCCTCAGCCCCACATCTACCCATCACCAAATCTTGCCCATAAATATTTGTGA